CTGTCCTTTCCCCAAACCTTCGAGAGATTTGAAATGTGGCAGAGTGGTGGCAGTGTGGCTTGGGAGCTGTGCAGCCTTTGCTTTCTCTGGGCATTCTGCAACACTCCAGTATTTCTCACCTTCGAACAGAGCTGGCAAAATCCATAACTGCTTCCAATATGCTTGGCTAAAAACAAGGAAAAGCCCGGCACTCCATCATGGAGATTGTTCATCTCAGAGCTGATACAGTGAAGACCTCTGAGCTAGAAGTCGTCCATAAAAGGTGGTGGCAATGTCACAGCTAAGTTTCTTTCTTAATATATCTCTTTCTTCTTTTTTGCTTTCATGTGTTGTTTTTTTCCCCCTGGGTGGAGCACAACCAGGGAGGTGATGACTTACCTGCCACAGCTCGGTAGATCGCAATCTGGAACTGGCAGAGTGTTAACACAATGCCCCAGCAGAGCTTTTCTGTCTCTAATTTCTGTGATTATGTTGTTACCGGATCAGTGAAAAGAACCATGAAAAACACAATTACCAGGAAGCCCTGTTCCTTTCCTTGTCCCTTTGTCTCACTGCCGATTGGGCATGTGACTCACAGAGCCATAGAGGACCAGCTGTATTTGCCCGTGCTACCGAAAAGGATGCTGCCCACCAATGGGACCCAGGCGTGGGAAAGCCTGACCGCTGGCTGGTAAGGTCAGTCTTGTCATGTTCAGCAGCTGGCAACCAAATGCATCCTGATGAATCAATGATAGGATCTATCTTCTTCTGCAACAACAGTGACCAATCAACAGCATAGAAGAGGGGCTGCATAAACCTGCCCACCATGTACAAAAGCACAGGGAAGGGAAGATGGTTTTGATTGAGAGTGCAGTGGCAGGAGAGCAAAATTTCTGAGGTCAATGGCATAGCGTCAGACTAAAGGGAAAGGGGATGAGTATGTTTCAGCTATGGGTACCGGTCCCAGATTTGCTCAGTACAAGCTCAGCTGTGCTTCACAGGCTGCTGGGGCTGACCTGACCCCGTTATGTGATGCACAGTCGGAAAGAGAACTTCAGTTGTTGACGTCATTCCAAATCCAGTATAAACCTATGACTTCAATGACAAATGCCAATAGCAGCAGAACAGTTGATGTTTTTCTTATTAATTGATGTAAAAAATGTCAGCTCAAAGTCAACACCAACTCTCAACACATCTGATAGGCGAGCATGCTCCAAACTGATGGTTGGAATGTATTATTTGCCTATTACGTGCAAGTATAAATGTCTATCAGAAGAAAACAGACTTTGGCAAACAAACTGATGAACAGCTATGTTTGTGGGGAACGCTCATGATTTGATCTGGACGGACCATTGAGTATAAACAGGGATAAAGTTTACCTTAAGCATGCATGAAAAGCAGGGCTATGAGCCATGCATTGGACTTCTTCATTCTTCTGCCAGAGAACAGCTTGAAACACATCTGCTATTTTACGTCCTCTGATTTATTACCATTACAAAAAGATACCAGCAACCTCAGAAAGGTTTTTAAAATAACAAACCATCTCTTTTTTTTCCATCCCTAGTGTATCAGTTATTCAGTGACCGAGAACTTTAATTCCAGCAGATGAAGAGAAATCCCTTCATCCTGGTGGTAGTAAACCTTTAAGCAGAAGTTTCCTTGCCTGTAGATCCCTGCTGCAAATCTTTCTGCTCTTCCTGTACTGAGGGTCTAGATGTGGGCAAATGGCATGTGGTGCAGTACTGGCATGCTATAAGTATAGCTATCAGACTCTATAGACTGAATCAGAATCTGTTTAAATGCTGGTATAGCCACAAACAACACTGTCTGGGACATATTTCTGTGGGATTTGATGACTGTGTTTATTTCATGTAGTGTGAAAACTGAGTCTGGAATCAGGATTCCAGTTGAAGGGAATCTCTGCCAGAGGTCTCTTTTGCCCCCCACGTTTCAGTCATCACTGGAGATAAGTGCAAGATGAAGGGAACCAACGAGGGGGAAAAGAAACAGGCTGAGGTTTTCTTGCTGCTTCTTTTGAAGTCACCAGCGTAACTCCCGACATCTTCATGGAGTTTGGCCAGGTTCCGTGCAGAAGTGCCTTTGAAGATTTTGCTAAGGCTCAAGGCCTCGATCACGACAGCCTTTACGCCAGTGAGCAACTCTGTGCAGATGAGCACTTCCAGGGCACTCAGCGGGACACTTCATATGAGACTTTGTAGGATGAGTCTTAAGCAACCAGTGCTTAAGAGAAACATTCTGCTTGTCCTATGCTTTCATCCTCGACCACATGAAACGAAATGCCTTGGCAGTTCTGGAAGAACGAATTTGCATTGAAAACCCACAGCTCTTACAAGCAGTGCATTAATTATTTTATTAATTTGCTCTTTTTACATTATGGGAAACATTCATCTATTTACATTTTCCTGTCCACACACAAACCAGATAGATAATCCTATGGAAAACCCAAATTGTTAAGCCATAAAAACACTCTCCTCTGCCTAAAGGCTTTCAAATTTGTGTCTTTTGTTTCGGATCAAAAACATTTTTAAAATCACATTTGGGAATGCAAGGTAGGCCAGTGATTTACATTCCAGTTACTTAAAATACGCATTTTACCATTTTCCTTAAAAAAAAAACCCAAACCAAAAAATCAATAAATTCACAAAGATACAGTTTAAATTAAAGTGATAGTGCACATCAAAGCATTAAGGGAACATCAATAAATAAAATGAAATATATTACAAATAAATTATTTCTATTTACCTTTTCAAATATTAAAAATCTTTAATCCATTTCTTCATCTCTCTTTACAAAAAGATTATGAGAATTTTATGGAAACATCTGCAAAAAATATATTAAATACTTTTTTTTTTTTAATTTTTGAAGCAGGAGACAAAACCAACCTTTTCTAAAATTTCCTTCAAGAAAAAAAAAAGCAATAGTTTAGTCCCAAAGTGAAACAGAATGTAGGCATTTTTAATATACACTGGGCAGGTTAGACTAAAACCAAATAGTCACAAATCATACTAAAATAGATGATAGAGCAAATATACTAGCATTAGTGTCAGTAAATGAGTCAAGTGGTTAACTAGTGGCATTCTAGAGGCAGAATTACTCTATTTTATGTTTTCTGTTCTTGGCTGTATTTTTAATATTTTGCTAAAAAACCAAGCAAACATTATAACAACCTCTCCAGCACCAGATGATCTAACAGGCATTCAGCTAAGAATATATTAATTTGAAATAGATACTAAAAATATTCTATGATATACAAATACAGTAATTTGTAATGTACAAGACTAGATAGTCTTCGCTTTTCTGCTTTTTTAGGGGGAACTTGCCGGCTAGAAATTTCTGTAGCCACTTGTCAACCAAAGTCTTAACTCATCTTTCATAAAACGTTCACAAAACTAAGTCAGTTTGCGACAGAGCTGTGAATGTGGACTCTCACCTGGATACTACTTCGAATATTTCAGTACAAATGAGTTCCAAACAATTAATACTTCCTATGACTATAAATGCTCAAAAGTGGCAGTTGGCACTAGTACATACTGCAAACACATAGATGTTTCTTTGCTGCTAAAAGTGTTTCAAAACTAGCAAATACACTAGTATTCAAATGCTTAGAGGGTCAAACCTTTCGAAGCTCCTGTAACACAAAGCGGTCTAGGGTTACACTGGATTTCTGATTACTCTAGTGAAAAGTCTTTTATATATCAAATTATTAGCCCTTATCTTGTAAACCACAGCAGTAAATATTTGTGCCCTGTTTTATAAAGACATAGCTCAGATATCAATGGCTTTGAGAGGTAGCAAATTCTCTAGTGGTTTTAGTATGCTCTCATGAAAGTACTTGGTGCCAGAACCTATTACCTCTCCTATTTTCTTGAATAAAATTAAATTAGCACCTGGCTATGATGTCGTAGGAAAAGAAGCTGTCTGGCATGATCTCAATGAATAGTTCTAGCAAGAGCGTAACTTTTTGATGATGACTTTAAATGCTTTTTAAGTGCAAGCTGCAGAATCACGCCACCCATGCAAGCGGGATTTTTCATGGGTTGGACTGTCTGTACAGGTTTAACAGCTACGGGCACAGCCAGCCAGCACTGGCGTGCGGCAATGGCTGCACCTTGTGCCCCTCCACGAGGGATCCTGCCCCTGTGCCCCTTCCCATCAGGAGCAGAAAGCGGCCTGCCTTCTTCTCCCGTGTACCCCTGCTCTGGGGCAAAGAGCACAAGGAGACCTGTGGAGGGGTCCGGAAAGCACCACCACAGGGCTGTGCACACAGCCGGGGCCACACAGCGCTCCTCTGCCCCAAACCAGCCCCGTCGTCCAAACCCACTCAGGCTAATTCTGCTTTCAGCAGCACATGCCAGCTAGGCACGCGTGTGCGCGCGCGCACACCCACACTCACACTCACACTCATGCACGCAACTTGCTTTCAGCAACATGCCTGACATAGCTTTCCTAATGTTGGCACAAGAGAATTTGGTTAGCGGCGTGGTCAGCATTGTTCCTCGTCAGAGGAGCTGTAGGACAAGCCCCCGGCTTGGCCAGGAGTGGCTGGAGGGGCTGACCTCTCGGGCTCCTCTTCAGCCCTACTGTCTGCCATTTCCACCCACTATTAATGAGCTACTTAGGATGCGTATTTTTTGTGACTGCAAAACAGTGGCAGAAGCCAGGGTAGGAAGGCTTGTCGTGAAAAAAATTAAGTTCATATTGATCCCATGACTTGTGAAAAATACTTTATTGTTCTTGTTCAAATGGGTATTTTATACTATCAAGAGGAGGCTGAATTAGAAACTTACTCCTAGATATGGACTGTTTGGTGATAAGCAGTCTGAACTCTAGCATACAACCGGCTGTGGATAGAGCAAAGCAAGCCTGGCCTGGAAAAGCATCAGAGGCTCCATGTACAGCAACTCGCCTACAGGTGTCCGTGTGTGGCTGCGTGGATGTGTGAGATCAGATGGTCCCACCGAGATTAAGACATCAACAAAACCAAGCTTTTTTTCTTTTTTTTTTTTTTTTTTAACCAATATAATCCATACAATACAATACAAGAGGAATTGACAATACAGTACAATTTTAAAAATTCTTAATACTTGGACAAGAAAATCCTTCTTTTATATTATCTCTTCAACTGTCATTGCTTCTTATCTCCTTCCTTTTCACTCTTTTATTGCCTTTCAAAATAGATTATTTCCCTGGAAGATCGAATTTACAATCTTCTGCTGATTGAAATGTTTAAGTAGTGATTGATGAAATAAAAATGAGGCAGTTTGTGCAGCTGTGAGTGTGCAGGTATCTTTCCAGAGGATCTTTTCTATCCCTCGCCATCTCACCTGCGGGATATACTTCCACTTTTTCACCTCCCAGAGCTGTGTGATTTTTTCTTCCCCCCCCAATCCCATCCCAGCCCCCTCCCCTTGTATGACTCCTTAAATTCAGGTGAGAAGGTGTGATTCAGAGGTTTAGAATAAAGTGCGCCATCTGCTTTAAAAAAAACAGTAATAAAAAGAAGGGAATCCAAGTCATAGCTCCTTTCATCTTTTGTGAGGAAGACGGCAGAGTCCGAAAGGATCACCCTGCATGACTAAAATTTCCGAAGTCCCCTAACGGTTTGATATTGCTGTACACCGGGTAACAGACTAGCTTTAGGTCAACTAAAAGATCATGAGCAAGTTAAATGGAGTATCTACTGTACAGGTGCGCGGGTGTGTGGAAGTCTGAGCGCTGCATTTATTTGTTTCAAACAGAAAAGAAAAAAAAAGGATTGTACTTGTCTACATGAGGCAAAGTGGCAGCATCAGTACATGTGACAAAGCATCGTGATGACATGGGCGAACCTTCAGAAAGCAAAGGTGATTAGAGGACATCTCTCGGAGGACCGACAACTACGCCACGGCAGTGGAGTTCACTGGGAGCATCGGGGCAGCTGCGTACAGAGAGAGGGGAAGGGGAGAGGTGGGGAGAGAGAGCGAGAGAGAGGAGGAGGTACAAATACTTTGTGGTGACCTTGAGCAGGAGCCTAGAGGGGCAGATTATACATGAGGCTTGTCTTGCCAGAGAGAGTCCTCCCGGTTGGATCCCTTCATAGCCTGGTCTGGGCTTCGGGGATGTATATCTCAATGCTTTCGGCGCTCTCGGTAGCTGAGTTCTGGCGGACCGATGCAGCGCGCTTGGCAGCCATCAGCCGTTTCCGGGCCTCTTGACGCTGCGAGCTTTCCAGAGAGCGTTCTCGTATGAGTGGCACCTGACCTTTCGATGGCTTCTTTGGCACTGGAGGAGGGACCCTTCTCTCCTGATCAAAGCAGAAGGTTAATGGCATTATACAGCTTCTCAGGGAAAGGCGGGAAAAACTAGGATACGTCAGTAGTTAGAACACACATTTTACCTAAGGTTTGTTAGCTCTTATCTGCCTTTCTGTCTTCAGTGAACTGGCTTTTGTGCTCAAGGGTTCATAAACACAGGGCAAGGGCAAAGGGGAAGGGAGGGCCAGCCGCGGCGCTACTTCTCCTTGGAGATGGTGCCTTAAACGCCCGGCGCTGCCAGGGCCGAGGCTCTCACTGCTGACCGCTTAGTGCGGCTCCCCAGGGCGGGGAGGGGGGATCCAGGCGTCTCCTCCCGGTGCTGGGAACTGGAAAGGAGAGCGTCTCGGACGTGGCCTCCCACCGCAAGAGCCCCGGCTGCCAGCACACCCTCTTCTACACGTGTGTAAGGCTAAAGGTGCTCTCGTGACACGGAGATACCGTGGCTTTGGTGTTCCCAAACGCAGGTGGGAACTAGCTGCCTGCAGCTGGTGCGTCAGAATCAATATTTTTTTTAAAAAACACCGTATACTTATGCATATATATTTAGCAGTAGCTGAATGACTGCTCAAAAACCCCACGCTTTAGGTCTCACCGTGCAAGCTCATAAACTCTAGCCTCTGGCTAAATAGGCATGACAAGCAACAATCAGCTAGAAATAGAAAAACTGGTAGGGAAAACTTAAAAACCATAAAGAGAACATGCATTAATCATCACGGTGGCAGCTAGCTCCAGATATGTGATCAACAAGGAGGACTTTTATGTACATCCTGACGCATGTACACACACACACACAAAAAAAAAAAACCCACAGAAAAACCCCAAAAGAAACCCTCAGCGAGGGATCTTTCCCGAAAAAGAAAAGTGTATTCAGGTCTGAATTTCAGGCGGCCACAAAGACTTTGTCAAGTTAATTAGATTGTCTTTTAAGTTACATCCCCTTCCAACTGTGAACACGGTCTCTGAGCGAAGGGATTTTATCGCACTACAAAGGTCCCATTCTGCCCTTTCGTTTTCTCTCATGCTGCTCACAACAGCTTCCACGGTTTGAAATATAAAGGTGCTTAGTTACACTTATTCATACTTTGCTTTTTCTCTCCATCCAAGGATTAATCTATGCTGTTTAAAAAGGGCCCAGTGGCAAAGGCCAAAGGCAACTGCAAATATCAATTCCACAGAAAGTTTTTTTTTTGTTTTTTTTTTTTTAATCCTTTTTAAGGAAAAAAGATGATCTGTTTCATCTAAAATCATAGACAAATGCTGTTGAAACAGGAACATGGTCAGCGTAATTCTTTAAAATCTTTACCTTACTACTGTAGGTCCCTTTCTTCAGCACTACTTAACTTCTTTTAACCCATTATAGTCTTCTTTTTGTTGGAAACTCTTTGAAATGTTTTTCAGAAGCAAAGAAAAGGCACATTTTTTTTTAAGGAAAGCTCTCGTTTCTTACTGCTGCGATTGCAAACACTTGGCCTATCCACTTTACTGTAAAAGCTAATGAAAGACCATAATACCAGCATTTCTGTGCATGCATGTTTGACGTTTTTAACTTCCTTTTCTGATAGATAGTGAAAAAAAATAGAAGATAAGAAAATGACTTGCCTTTGGTACCTTGGGCTAGGAAAACACATTCCCATTCATTCCCCTACAAAACACACTAGGTGTGCACAAATGGTGTGAACATGGAACTCCTAAGTCAGGAATGAGTGTTTAGTCTTGATCGGAGGAGGAGGGAGAGTGCTACCAGCACTGCCTTTGCAAGTTTCCTGCTGCAAGATTAATGTGGTTTGATATTATTATGGTTATTTGTCCAAAAGAAAACAGCGCTTTGGTCATCAGCAGCCATCTGACCGTAAGTTTGGGCAGCCCAAACTCCTGTCTGAGCCACTGTACCTGTAAGTCATATTCCCCCTCCTTCTGGTGATCCTACCTGCTGGCTGTACTCATTGCTATCAGACCAGCCACAGTGGAAATTCAGACACCAAATTACCTACCTATAGAAGCATGACATTAGACCGTTGATTCCTCTAGGAATGGGTCTCTCTTTTAAGGATTTTCTGAAATATTTGTGTGTTTTGGCTCACCCAAGTGCTGTTTGTCTTGATGAGGATAGTGAGAAGAAAAATAAGGCAATGATGCCAAATGAGAATGGAGAGTGAAATGTGGCTTGCACTTGGAGATGTGGTAGTTTTTCATGATGACAGAAGAAGACTACATTCAAAAAAAAGACCAAAGCTCCAGATGATTTTTATGCTACCTTGGGTAAAAACCACTACCAGCAAAGTGAACCTGCTTATGAAATCACCCACTAAAAAAAACCAAAATAAATAAAAAACAAACAAACAGACAAAAAAATGTTTTTTCATGTAACATTTTGGAAGGCATATTTTTGATATTGCTCTGTTAGTAATCTGGTCACCAAAGTCAGGAATAGTTACAGTGCTTCCCTAGTTTTTTCAGTAACACAACCTAGAACTCTTGCTATATGCAATAATATGAACCATAAATGTGATTTATTTAATTTTAAGAATCAATATATAAGGCAGTTCCTTCCAATGATTGATCTTCTAATATGACTAAAGGTAAAGTTTAACAAAGTACTACATTCCCATTATCCGATTCACAAAGACAGATCAGGTTTAAAAATATGCCTGAAACATATTACAGATAATATCCCAGATGATTATTATGTAAACATTGTTATTACAATGAAATTAATTTGATATGAGCTTCATTTCACATTTTTAACGTCAACGCTGTAACATAGAGGCCTATTTAATCTGTCCAGTATTTGTGCAGGGTTTTAAATGAAGCATACAAAATCTACAATGTTCTACCTTCTTGTCATGAGGATCCATCTGTTTCCAATTATTGGCCTTTAACTGATGAAGTTCATCAAATTTCATACTAATATTTTCTATGGACAACTGCAGCATATCCCAAAACCCTGCTAAATCCTGGGAGGTCGGCCGTGGATGTGCATTAGGATTCTGTGCAACAGAAGAAGAAAAACACATCAGCTTTAGTACCTCTTAAAGTAAAGCATTTGTGCAAATGGTTACAAATCTTGCTAGCAGAGCAGTTTCAGCAGATCCCAGCCATTGGTGAGAGACAGAGAGGAGCAAAAGCGGAGCACTAGTTGCTGGCGGGGCACAGGGGTGGTTTGTGAGGAGTCTGGCTCGGTGTCCAGCCGCGGTGCCCCTGCCAGCCCCTACTCCCCGATGGC